CGTATTGTTAATTTTACATATTGTAACTTTAAATTAAAGAAAAAAAACCTAAAAGAAAAAATGTATAATAAAGTTGTGATTGTTGCAAGGAACATTTTTTATCTAATAATTTTTTAATACTATTAGTTTGTGATACATAATATATTATTTTTTCTGCCATAATAACTAACTTTTTTCTGTACCCCTAAACAACCTATCGCGTACCCCTAGGGGTACGCGTACCACAGGTTGGGAATCGCTGTAATAGAGAACAACAAGCAACCTTGATACAACTTGATGTGTTTCTTAATTGTAAATATAATAGTATTTTGTTAACTTTATACTGTTTGATTGAAAATGACAATTATTTGTAGCCCAACTAACCTAAGGATCAGATGTCTCAATATTTAGTAAATGTTTGTAATAATGGAGAAAGGTTATAAATTGAAAAAGGTTTAATTGAATGATATAATTTTATAGTAATGATTTCCAGTGAAAATAATGATTCTTGGTCTTTTTCAATCAATTCTACTTTCTGCCAGTCTACTTTATAAACTTCCAATAAGACAAACTGTGAGAACATTGTTATAGGTTTCAATTTTTTTTTTTTTTTTTATGTCCCTTTTATATATTAGTTGTCTTACTTGTTAGATGTCTTTAATGGAAAAACTAGTGTTTAAATGATTTGTATAGGCAGAATTTTGTACATCTTCCTGAAAAGATGTGTATTGTCCAGGAGATCCTACAGATTATTTGGATGCCAAAAGTTGCTATTTCATTTAGTTCACAAATAGACGTTATCCAGGGTGCACCACGAGGAGGCAAACAACCTTTACTAACTAGATGTGTAGCCATATGCTAAATAAATGTACAGTACATCTTGCTAATTTTAATGTTGCAAATTTTTTGTTTGTTTGAGTGATTCATTGTTTGGATGACAAAAATAATTATACACAAGAATAGTAGTTTGTTTGGCTCTACATAAGAAAGACTCTGGGAATCAATACAAAACACAATTATATTTACACAAAATATGAACTGATACAAAATAGTTAATCAATTACACGACACCTGATCTTCCTTATTTGAAGGCATATGTGCAATTCAATCCTCAGTACCCAAATGTTACAATACAAGTTTTGATAGCAGGTTCTATTATAACAATTATGGATATGTACAGTACTTTACATATAACAGTATTCCAATCATCAACATTAACAATAATACCTTTGTGTGCAATACTTATATTACTCAACTACAAGATACAATCCTGGTGGAAAATAAAAAAAGAGACAAAAAGGAAGAATAGAAAAGAAAACAAATTATAAAAAGATTGA